CTAAGTCCCCAAAGAGGGCAGGTGGGATTTGGCTACCTATTCTGAAGAAGACAACGGGCAGCGTAGCATCACCCACTCGGAAGTTTGCATGAGCAATTCTGCAGTGCCCTCCCAACCACCCAGAAAGGCCGGAGGAGGAATCGGTTGGTACAAGAGCACCCCCTGGTGGCCATCCCAGATATGGCTGCCCGCAGAAGCAGCCAGCCTGGAAGGGGGCAAGGAAACTTGGCGCCTGGGCAAAAGGGCGGACCGGCGCATCACCAGGACCCCCGCGGTGCCCTGCCTCTTTGCGCGTGCTGAAAGAAGGCCGTGCTTTGGCTTTGCAGGTGTGCACATTTTTTATTCAACACCCCAAGTGACGGTCCGCTTCAGCGGGATGCACCTCAGAAAAAAGACCGCGGTAACAAGGCAGAAGTAACCATTTTCACCCCTTTTCCGGCTGCAGAAGCCTTTCCCAGAAAGGACTCTCAAAGAGACCCCTCTGCAGTTCTGAAAGCAGAGTGGGCTTCTGGACACAGCTTGATGTTGCCTTGACCAGTGGCTCCAGGGACCCAGGGGCAGGCCTTTTCGGGAGCCAAAAGAAAATCGGTGGACAAAGTAACACCCACGCAGCCCTGCTGGCTCTGGGCTTGGCCTGTGGGGGGGAAGGAAAAAAAAAAGAAAAGAAAAGTGTTGCAAAAATGGTCATTTCGCTGGATGGTGCCCCCAAGGGGCATTTCCTTTGAAGGGGAGGATGACCGCCAGGGGATCCTGCTTCTTGCACCCTGTTCCGAAGGGGTGATCCTTCCCAACACCCAGATTTCCAACTCTCTTCCCAGAAGCCGACAGTGCCAAAGGGTCAGGAAGCCTGGCTCTCAGCCAGCCCGTGCAGGAAAGCCACTTCTCCCACACCCGTGCGCCCTTAAGAGGCCACCTCAGTGAGTGAGAAGGTTGGAACAGGCTACCTACAGGCCTGCTTGGGGAGGATGCCGGGGATCAAGGGAACCTAGAGACCTGTAGAAGCAAAAGACCTGGCCTCAGACCGCTGAGGGAAACCAGCCTTGTCCTCCCCTCCAGCACTGGCTGAAGGGGAAGCCTGAGATCATCGAGATGCTCCCTTGCCAGTTTATCTAAAGCTAGAGCAGTTGTGCCCCAAGGAAAGGAGTCCCTCTCCATCCCACATCCGGAGAGGAGAGCGAGTCCTCCACAGAGGCCCCCTGAACTGAACTGTCCTCCAGCACAAGGACCACCAATCCTTTCCGCACAGACCTCACCTCCTCTTCCTGGAGGCCACCCGCTGCCTCCTGCGGCAGCCCTTGCGGAGCCTCTTCTGCTGCGGCTTCCGCTCCTTCGGCCTTTCTTGGGCACTTGGCGTCCTGGCCATACAGGAACTGCACACAAGGCTGCAGCGGTGGCAGGGTCTCCTGCTCGGACGGAAAGGTCTCCCTCGCTACTTCCTCTCTGTCCAGCTGTGGACAGAGGGAAGACAGCGTGGCCTCCAAAGCCAGCCGGGCCTCGTGAGCTCCTTTCTCCAGTTCAGCAGCGCTCCCGGCAGCCTCCTCACAGGCCACCCTCACCCTCTTCTCCAGGAAGGAAACTTCTGACCTGAGCTGCTCTGCCAGCTCTTCCTTCTCCTGGATCTGGCTGGCAGCATGGAGCATATCCGCTTGAAGGGAAGCCATGACTTCTTCCTGCTTGGTATTCAGCAGCTTTATCTGAGCTTCCAGTTCCGCCACCTTTTCATGCTCTACCTTCAACTGATGGTGTCGTTCCTCCCAGTCGGCACTCAAAGCTTTGACCTGGGCCAAAAATATGGGGCGCACACTCTTCAAAACCTGGCTCAGGTTTCAGTAGGATGACATAATTCTACCTGTGATCACTTAAACCTTTCCCCCCTATTCTGCCTCCCATCTTCTACTTATAGCAAGAACGGCAATTTCACAGCCCCCCGAGGATAAGCTGCAAAGCCCAGCCCTTCAAGACATCTCAGAAGCCGACAGGCAGAAAGCAAAAGAAATTGTTAGAAAGACAACATGAGAAGTGAATGCCTGTGGAGAAGGATTCGGAGCAGAGGTGGTGTTCAGCAGGTTCTGACCGGTTCTGGAGAACCGGTAGCATAAATTTTGAGTTGTTTGGAGAACTGGCCAATCCCACCTCTGAATGGCCCCGCCACTCCCATCTCTTCTCTGCCTCCCATTGAGTCCCAGCTGATCGGCTGGGTCTCCTTGGGTTGCCCTGCAGAGAACAGAGCTGGAAAGCAGATTAGTTAGGGGCGTGCATAAGCGCACCAATGTGCCTGTCCTATTGTTTATTTTTCTTATATGTATCCATGTATTCATAACTATGTTTTTTTACTTATACCTATTATCTTGTAAGCAATTGACAAACCAAATAAAATAAATTAGTGGGGTGGGGGAGGGAACGGGAATTTTGCAGTAACCTTCCCCTGCCACGCCCACAGAACTGGTAGTAAAGAAAATTGATTCAGAGGGAGTAAAACTGTCGGGAGAGCAAAAGGAACCAAGTTACAGCGGCCTATTTTCCGTGGACGTAGAAGAGAGTCACCGCTGTGCTAAGTGCCAATGAAAAGTCTTCATTTTTCATAGGCGTTAACAGGCAACGTGTTGTTTTTTTTCCTGCAACCCGAGAGGGTGGTGGGAGGGTACTATAGAAAAATGTCCAAACTTTCCACGCTATTCGCAACCTCATCTTTCTCTGGCCAGGAAACAAGATTCCCCTCCCAGGGGGCTCCCATCCCTCCTCCTGCGTCCCAGAGGGCAAGAGGCTGTTTCTGGCTGCCCCCAAGGAGGCTGGTTCCGTGCCTACCTTCATCTGAATGGTCTCCACTTGGGAGAAGTCATCTTCCATTTTCTTTTGCAAAGCCATCTGAGGGAAGAAAGAGAATTGAGCTGCAGGGCTCTTTCCTGGAGTAAAGGGCCTGCTTGGGGAGGGGAGGGGATAAGATGTGCGGTTTTTTTGGGGGGAGAAACACCTTTGGACAATATGTGTGTCCCTCCTCTCTCCCCCTTCTCTCCCCCCTCTCTATATCCCTCCCCCCCCTCCCCCGCCCCCCCCCCCCTCCCCCCCCCCCCCCCCCCCCCCCCCCCCCCCCCCCCCCCCCCCCCCCGGGGGGCCGGGGGCGCCCAAAAGGGGCCCGGGGCCGGGGGGGGGGGGGGGCTGGCGCGGGGGGCGGGGGGGGGGGGGAAACCTTTCGGTCGGCCGCCATAAAGAGACGCCCCCGGCCCGGCCACTCACGAAGTTCTTCTCCAGGCACTCGACGGAGTGGATGCCATCGCCGCACCTGGAAAAAGAACCCGCAAAACCCGCCTCTGGAGCAGGAGGAGGAGGAGGCCCAACCCCGGCGGGGCGCGCGAGGCAAAAGTCGGGCTTGTTCGGCGGGGCCTCAGCCGCCGCCCCGCAGGCTTCGCTTGGACTCACCAACGCGTGCCTCAGGGCCCGGCCTCGGCCATTTTTCCCGCCAGAAGAAGGCAACCTCATTGGCTCCCGAGGGGTCAAGTGACCTGCAGCCGAGGCTGCTCCCTTCCCACCCACCCACCCACCGGGTTCCTAGAAGGGCCGCCGGTGACTCACTCACTTTTCCTCCATGGAGACGCTCTAGCCTACCGCAAACCGCCCTCGGGCCGCTCCGGCTGCTATTTGAACCTTCCCTCCCATTTGGCGGCCCCGCCTTGCTCAGGGACCCGCCCTTTCTTTCCTTTCCCCGATTGGTTGGAATCGAACCGTGACGCGGCGAGGGTAGGGCGGGGCTAGAGCCGCCAAGCAGGCACAGCTGTTTAGACTAAGGGGAAGGAGGGAGGGCTTGGGGCTCGCGGGCGGTGCGAAGGGGGCGTTGGGGGGGGGGGGGGAGATCCATGATCGGGATATATCGGGGGGGAGTTCTTTTTTTTATTTTTTATTTTTTCCTTTTTTTATTTATTAATTCCTATTGGTTTTTAAGACAAACATAAACAAACAAAACAAAAACATCAAGCCATCTTCCATATATGTATGTATGTATGATGTATGTATGTATGTATGTATGTATGTATGTATGTATACGGTGTGTCGGTTGGTTTACAAATTGGGGGCCCGGGGGGGGGAGTTCTGATTGGCCGCCGCTCCAGATCCCCTTCCCCACGCGCGATTTCGTCTCCCCCAAGTGCCTCCTACCTCCCCAAGCAACCCAAAGGCTCCGAGCAACCGTTCCCAGGGCCAGCAGGTGCTGCTGGGCTCCCCAAAGGGTGGCTGGGATGCCTTTTTGGCCCCACGGCGTGGAAGGAACCCCGGATTTCTTTGCTTCCCCCCCACACCCTCCTCCTCCCGGATGACCAGGGCCACGCATGAGCTGATCCTGCCTTGCCCGGGTTCCAACTGTTGCCCCAAAGCTCCGTGGGAGGCTACCCTGCCATGCCCGGACGCTCCTAACTCCCGATCTCGGGGCTCGGAGGTTTGGCACGATCGCCGAGGCTCGGCAAGGAAAGGACCGCCTTGACGCGAAGCAGCTGCAGGCGACGTGGGGTGGGGGTGGGGGGTCCTGGGAGGGAGGGAGGCGCCGCAGGGCGAGCTTCTAGGCGGGGGGGGACTGCTAGCACGACCGATGGAGCCCCCCTTCCAAGGCCGCCGCCCCCCCCCCTCCTCGGGGGCCGTGGAAAGCCGCGGAGCTCCAGCGACCTCCGTGGAGGCGGGACTGCTTCGGCGCTCAGCGAAGCCTCTCGGGCATCTGGGGCTTTTGGGGGGGGGGGTGCCCGGCCCCTGAGCGACTTTAGGGGGCGAGGCCCATCGCTCCCCTCCCCGAATCCCTTCTGCTCCGTCCTTTTGGAAGGGGGGGGAGGACAGGCGGCGGAGGTAGCCCCCTCCAGCGCCGGACCGCTCCACCTTTCCACCAGCCCAGAGGCCGTTTGAAGGGCCAGCAGGCACCGAGCGAACGACGGCTCCTCCTCCGGGGCCCCCTCCTCGATGCGGCCGGCGGCTCCGGCACGCCCCCCCTCCCTCCCTGCCGCCGCCGCCGCCGCCGCCCCGCCATGGGCTCGTGCGCGACCAAAGGTGAGCTGCCCCCGCTCGGGCTCACGTTCCCCGCAGGCCGGGTGGGGCGCAGGGCGACAGCGAGGTCGGGGCTTGAGGCTGCTCCCTGCAAAAGCGGGGTCTACGCGCCCGCAGCGGGAGAAAGGCGCGCCGGGGGTGGGTGGGGGGAGCTCTTAGACAGGAGCCCGACCACCTTGCTTCAATCTGGGCGATTTTATTATTATTATTATTATTATTATTTTGCGCCTCCACGTACCGTCCCGGTCTATGTCTGCACCCTTGTAGCTTAAAAGGATGAGGGGGAACCGGGGTTGGGGTGGGGGTCTGTGGAAGTGGTTCCCGCTTTGGGACGGAGGCGAGATGGGATCGCCTCCCTGCCGAAACACCCGGATCCTTCAGCCGTCCAAAGGCTGAAAACGCTGCAGTGGCATTTCTGCATTCTGTACATGTACAAACGGCGGCCCATTTTTCCTCTTAGAGGACGCTGGAGAGCATCTCCTTCCTCAGCAGCGCTTTTGCGTAGTACCATGGCAAGGGGGGGGGGAGGTTGTTTGCAAACCCCACCTGTAAGGTAGGAGGAAGATGGGGCCAGAAACTCCCGCAACAAAGCCTGTGTAGCAGCAGGCAGGTTTCCCCCAAGGGAAGGGGGGCAGGTGAAGTCTGCAGGGTGACAGATGTGATGGAAAAATAGTCCCAGCCCAGGGAGAAAGAAGGCAGCCAACAGTCAGCCTTGTTTCGACCACCAGCTACTCACAGAAACCATCAATTTTTCTCACTGTCAGGAATCCCCCAAAACACACACACACACACACCCATGGACCGACACTGGTCCAGAAACCGGTGGGTGCAAACAAGCAAAGCCCCATTTGCAGGATGTAGGTAGCACACAAAACCACGCCCTCCCCGGTCTGCAGAAAAACCTCCCCCCACAGAACCGGTCTCTGGTGACCCAAAAGGTCGGGGGGGGGTTGAGGGTTGGGGGCACGGCACTAAGTCAGGGGTCTCCAACCTTGGCAACTTTTAAGACTGGCGGGCTTCAACTCCCAGCTTTGCTGGGTGAGGAACTCTGGGAGTTGAAACCCGGCCAGTCTTAAAAGTTGCCAAGGTTGGAGACCCCCGGGGACTAAGTGACCGAATATAGGTTGGACAGGATTACTTGGTCTGGTGGGTGGATGCTTGTGTGTGTTTTTAGGGGGCGGGGAATTTTGGCGGGCGGGATGGCGGCATTCGGGGATTGTCATTGTGTGTGTGTGTGTGTGTGTGTGTGTGTGAGTGCACGTTGAGTCTGGTCTCTGGGTGTTATGTGAATTTCGTTGTATGTAGACTGTGTATATATGTACAATGACAATATTCAATTCAATTCAAGCGGCTGGAAGGGTGGACACTATGAGGGCCAAACTCGTAGTAGAGCAAGGGACACCCTCCCTCCCCCACATTGCCTGACTTTTGGGGAAATGGCTTGAAGGATGTCTTAGCTACACGGCCCCTTCCTCATCCCACAGCCTGGCCTGGCCTGCCTGCCTGCTGCTGAGCCTCTTGCTTTCTTTCTGCAGAATTCCTCAGGAAGGCCCATAAGGAGGGAGGCAACGTCCCTCTGCCGGACCAGGAAGGCGGCAATCCACCTGTTTCCCCCCCAAAAGAAAGCAACTCTGAGGTAAAGGCTTAAGGGGACCCCCCCCCCCTCCCCTTAAGATGGCTGCCTGAGGAAAACCTTTCTATCCCATTTTCCCCCACCACCCTCCCGAAAGCAAACACGTTTTTTTTGACAATGAAAACTACACCAGGGCAATGACAATGAACGATACATTGAGAGACTGCGCACCGTGAAACTGATGCACCGTCGGGTGGGAAGCCCCAAGCATGAAGGCAGAGGGGCAAAAACGGCGCCGAGGATGTGACAAAACCCCAACAGCAGGGCGCGACGCGTAATTTAAAGGCCTGCTGCTGAAACTACAGCCAGGATGGTCCTCGAGTGCACACGTCCCGGAAGGGTGGGGGGAGAAAAGGACATTTCAAATTGGGGGCAGCAATGCCTCGAAGCCCCTCCCTGCACCCTGTTTCCAGGAGGGTCTTCAGAAATGGTTAATATCCCTCCCCTCCCACCTCAGGCTCTGGTTGGCATGCAGTTCCCCCTCAGAGGTTGGGGGCGAGGCTGGGTGTTTCCGTAGACCGGGGTCTCCAATCTTGGCCACTTGAAGACTTGTGGACTTCAACTCCCAGTCTTCAGTACTGAGGGATTTGAAATGCAAGACAGGGAGAGATTAGAAGCTGCTGATAAGGTTCCCGCGGAAGAGGGCAGGCCATTCCTTTGGTGCAGAGGCCTCCAAACTTAGCCACTTTTTAAGACTTGTGGACTTCAACTCCCAGAATTCTCCAGCCGGCATAATTGGCTGGAGAATTCTGGGAGTTGAAGTCCATGACTCTTAAAAGTGGCTAAGGTTGGAGACCCCTGCTTTAGACCCACAACCTGCCAGGGCTGGAATAGAGCAGGCCACCCTCCCTCTTTTTCTTTTTTTCACCTGCAGAAGCCCTCGCGGGGGTCCGGTGGGGCTACCTTGGCGGCCTACGACGTGACAGCCCTTGCTACCTCCTCCCTGCTGGGTAGGTAGGCCCTCTGGATCAAGGGCTCATCTGGCAACTCCGCCATTTCCTCGGCCGACAGAAACTATGGAAAAGGGGCTGCTTCTCCACCAGGGCAGCCTCACGCCAAAGGCCAGGAGAGCCGCACTGAATGCCCCTGTCTGGTGTTGGGGGGGTCCTTGCTGGGGCCGGGGGGGGGGGGGGGAAGAGGAGGTAGCCACAGTGCCTGAGACACCTCAGGCTGTGTGGGGGTCTTCCTGCACGGACGATCCAAAGGGAATGGCTTCCAAGGCATCGGAGCAGCTGTCCGAGAGAGCAGCTGCAGCAACGCCAGAGAAGAAGTTCTAATCTGGATTCCTGAGAAGAGCAGAGGGTGGACTAGAGGGCCTCAAGGTTCCCCCCCCTCTGCCAACGTGATGATCCTCCTCTTCCACTGGGCAACTCTGGCGATGGTGTGGGTGTGGTCAGCTCAAAAGGAGCTTCCTTTTCGGCGGAGGGGCCGGGAAAAGGGGAGGGGGGCCCACCTTTTCTGAGGGGGGGACAATCCGGCCAGCCCTGCAAAGGCTCTTCCGTTGCAGCTGAAGCGTTTTTTGGGGACAGCAGGGGAGACTGAACACGTCTTGCGATGTTGGTTTCCATGGAAACCCTCCACAAGCCCCCCCCCCTCCAACCAAGGCTGGGAAGGCAGCAGAGCCCGCGCGAGCGAGCGGCATTCGTCCCCATGGCTCCCCCGAGTTCCCCCCTCTGCTCGCGCCTGGCCTCAGTCCTGTTTCCCCTCTGCCCTCCAGGCCTCGTCCAGAGCCTGAAGGACCACATCACCAAGCCCACCGCCATGGCCCAAGGGCGCGTGGCCCAACTCATCGAGTGGAAGGGCTGGAGTGCTCCCCCCGTGGGTTGGGGGCAGCCCCCCGGCGAAGAGGTGCTCTACGAGGAGCTGACCGACGAGCTGAAGGAGGCTCGGTTTGCGGCAGGTGAGGGGAGGGAAGGTGGGGGGGGGGGGGGGGGGGGGGGGGCGGGGCGCTGGTGGAACCAGGGAGGGGGAGAGGAGGGGGTGTCTGGCCAGCATTCTCTCTGTTGGCAGCTACTGGGCACGCCTTGCTTCCTCCCAGGGGAAAACGCACAAGGATGGCTGGTTGATCCACTGTTCTCTTCGGTCTCCTCCTGGCGCTTGCATTTTGGGGTGGGTGGGTGGGTGTTTCGCAGCCTTGTCCCAGGCCGCCTGTGCCTCACCTCCCAGCTCTCCGGCCCCTCTCCAGGTGTGGCTGAGCAGTTTGCCATCACGGAAGCCACCCTGACTGGTTGGTCCTCCCTGAACGAAGAGGAGCTGAAGGACAGGGGAGGCTCGCAGGACGTGATCCGGCTCCAAGGTATGACCCCTGGCCTTTGCCCCGGGACGGGTCCATTCCTTTGGCTTCTCTTGCAGTCCCCCTGGCTGTGTCCTTCTTCTGACTCTCCTCCTCCTCTTCCTCCTCCTCCTCTTCCTCCTCCTCTAACCAGATCTGGAAGGCATCTACCTGCAGGACGGTCTTCTCTTTGGCCCACCGCCTCTGGCGGGCAGCCTCCGGACCTTCGGGCTCTCCAACCAGGAATCCCCCATCCCAAGCGGACCCTTGAACGGGAAGGACTGGAGCAGCTCGGGAAGGGCAGAAGGGAAGCCGGTGGGCCCACCCGACGCCCACAGATGGCAGCAGAGTGCCACATCCCTGCGCTACATGGACAGCAGCTCTCCCTCCGAGGACGAGGTCTTCTATGACTAGGCTGGGGTCACTCCGGGGTGAGGCTGGCAGCAACGGCCGGTGGCCGCTCCAGGAGGGGCGGGATGGCGTGGCTGAGGAGGGGGTCTCGCTCCAGACTGAGTGGCCTCTTTGCGAGCCCATCCTTCTTCCCTTGGCAGCCTGAGGAGCTGGTCTCAGGAAGTGCATTATGGTCCCAGAGCTGTTCCGGTTGCAGGAGGACGTGCCTTTTTTTGGACACAGCCCCATCCAGGATTAGCACTTTCAGCGTTGAGACGGACTCTGCGCTGCCGGCTCGGCGATGGGAGAGGCCCGTGGAGGATGGACTCAGGGGGTCGGTATCCGGGTGGAAATTCGGCCCAAGGCTCCCTTCGGAGTTTCCTGCCTGTCCCTCCAAGCGCTTGCTAATGTTCACAGAGCAACGTCCGATCTTTCCTTATGGACTAAAGGGGGCCCGGCCCCAGGGAGGCTGTACTGAAGGTGTAAATAAAAACAGGTGCCGCAGGAAAACGTCGTCCACCCTTTTTTGCCTGGAAGGGACTTGCTGGGTGCCCTCCAGACATGCCCTCCGTGTCTGAGCTGGGAGAAAGGGGCCGGACCCCAGCTGGGGAAGGAAGGAGCAAGGCAGGCTTTGCTCTGATTGGACTGAAGGACATATGTCTGGGGGGAGGGGGGGGGACGACAAAGGAGGAGAAGCCAGCAGGGTCCTGGGACTCTTCTTCTTGAGCTGGGGAAAGGACGCTGCCAGCTGAAGGCCACCCACCCCCCTTCATCCAAACCCCCCCCCTCATCTCACGCTACAACTTCTTCTCAAGAATTGCCCAAGTGGGGAAAATCTTGAGACTTCCATTACATCGCAACCATTCTGTTGTGTCTTGGCAACTCTTTCTAAAAGGCCCAAAGGTCTCAAAAGGGCCTACATTTTTCCACTTATGCCACTCTTTATTTTTTTTTAATTAAAAACTTTGCATTGAATCCTTCTTTAGGCAAGCCGGACAATTTCTCTAGCAAACACCCCCCCCCCCCCCCCCAACGCCACCTACGGCTTCACCCCTCCAGCGCTCTCTTCTCTCTCTCTCTCTCTCCCACGGGCTTTACGATCACCCGGCTTTGGGGTTGGCCAGCTCTTCGATAGCTTTCCTGAGCTGAAAAAAGAAAGAAAGAAAAGAGCGAAGCTGACAACGGGGCACAGGGAGCGAGTCGGTCTTGCAAACGTCCGGAACTGCCTTATCTCCATCGGAAACTCGCCTTTTCCCTCGTCAGCTCAAGAGGGAAGCTGCAGCCCCCCCCCCATTTTTAGGCCAGCGTTGGCCTAGCCTCCTGCTCCTCGTTGGCCCCGCCAGGAGGAGGGCTGGTGGGAAGGAGGAAGTGCACCTCTCCGTGCGCTCCTGGGGGAGCCCAGCCACTCACCTCCCTCCTGGTCACGATCCCCACCACTTTCCCCAGCTGGGTGACAAAAGCCCGTTGCAGGTTCAGCATCTCAAAGAGGTTGTGGGCCTTCAGGAGAAGAAGAAGAAGAAGAAAAGAGAGAGAGGTTCAACGCTGTTTCCTTCAGGAGGGAAGAGGGACCCCTTCTCAGAAACCCCTTCCCCCAATGGACCCCCTTGCAAAAAAAAAACCCATTCCCCAGTCGATCCCTCCCTCCCTCCTCAATGGTTTGACCAAGCGGCGGCTTCCCTGCCTCCTTCACCCTGAGGCATCGGCAGAGGAATGGGCCTAGGTGCCCCAGACGGAGGCGACCTGGGCAGCGCTCGGCGGCCTGAGGTACCTGGTGCAGGGATGTCCACGGGGAGAGCTGCAGGGTCACAGGACTGATGGTGCAGCCTTCTTTCAACGTCTGGCCCGAGAGAAGCTGGAAGGGAGAAGCAGCGCAGCCATGGAGGTGCGGTGCAGTGGGGTGGGAAGGAGCTCTGGGGAGCCCCCCCCTCCGGAAAGCACGCGGTCAGCTCTTATCAGAGTCACCCCCTCTCAGACCCCCACCTCTTTCCCCAGCTCCTCCTGTGGCAAGCTGGAATCCTCCTGGCTCTGGAGAAACCGGATGAGGCTGGACCGCTGGATCGCCCCCAGCAGCATCTGAGACTCTGGGGGGGGGAGAGAGAGAAGCAGAGGGAGGGGTCCACTTTGGGTCGCCCCGCTATAAAAAAAAAAAGATGTGGAGACTCTAGAAAGAGGGCAGAGAAGAGCAACCAGGATGATGAGGGGACCGGAAGCTAAAACATAGGATGAACGGTTACAAGAGCCGGGCGTAGCGAAAAGGAGGACTAGGAGAGACAGAACGGTGTCCCAATATCTAAGGGGCTGTCACAGAGGAGAAGGGGATAATTTTCCAAGGCACCAGAAGGTCAGACAAGGAACAATGGATAGAAACCGATCAAGGAGAGAGATTCAACATAGAAATAAGAAGGAATTTTCTGACAGGACAATCAACCTATGGAACAGAAGTTGCCCTTGGAAGTTGTGGGAACGCCAACCTTCAAGAAGAGATTGGACCGCCATCTGGCCGAAATGGTATAAGGTTGAGCAGGGGGTTAGACTAGATGACCTACTAGGTGCCTTCCAAGGCTGTCGTTTCTAGGGACGCGGCCGTGTGCGCGTGTTTGTGCGTACGTCCATATTTTTGTCACAAATGCTTCAGTGCCGCTCCAGCCATAAGGTGGGACCCTCCCACCCGAAGGATCCAGCGTGAGTCAACCCGACGCGCGCCCAACAAGCACCTGCGGCCTTCAGAACAGTGCCTTACCTGCATTGTCTACCACAGGGTACTCCTGGTCCTCCGTCATGGTGAGCACCTGGAGGACATCGTGAAAGGTGGCTTCCTGGGACAGGATGACGAAATCGGTGTTCATGAACTCCTGGGTGATGACCCTGTAGGACCTGCAAGGGAAGCAGCGCTCACCACAGAGTGATGGCTTTATCGGGGAAGGGTGTTGGGGAAGCGGGGGCTGCTGGTGCGGGGCCGAGCAAGGTCAGGCCAGAGGTGCTCTGGGCACGTGCAGAGCGGAAGGCAGGGCCGGTCCCAAACCCCCGAGCCCCGGACGCAGGGCAGCTCACTCGATGTCCCTGCTGCGGATGCGAGGAAGGTACGGCAGCTTCTTCACGATGATGGTGCCGTCGTAGAAGGAAGGCTGGAACTTCTGGGCAATGGCGTTGGCCACCAGGACAGCCAGTAGGACAGGCAGGATGTGGGCGATCTGCCCGGTCATCTCGAAGGCCAGCAAGGCAGTGGAGAGGCTGTGGGTGACCGAGCCAGAGAAGGCAGCGGCCCCTGGAGGGAGGGAGGGAGAGCAGAGGGTGGCCGATCTCGGGGAGAGCAAAGGGGTAGGTGGGGGTGGGTGGGGGGGTTGGCTTCCTCCCCCGGGTACCTCCTGACGTACCTGCCAGCGCATAGGCCCCGGGGATAATGGGGCTGGGAGGGCCCTCAGCAGTGATGCCCAGGGGGAAGAGGAGGGCTGCGGCTTCGCCCACCAAGCGCCCGATGGCAGCTCCTGGGGAGGACAGAGGAAGACCGCCGTTCCCCTCAGACCAACCTCCCTGGAGACGGCTGAAAGCAGGCCACTGCGAGCGAGCGGGCGCACTCACCGTAAATGAAGATGGGCATAAAGTACCCAGCGGGCATAGGCATGGTGGTGGCCAAGACCAGCATCCAGAACTGCAAGGGCAGGAAAGGGTCGACGCTGGCAGCCCGGCCTTTTTTTGAGCACAGGGCCCCACGGTAGTGGCTGGCTGACCCTTCAGCGAAGCAGGCGCTCGATGGGGGGGGGGGGAGAGTAAGGGAGAGCCCCCCCCCCGGCAGGAGCTCTGCAAAGGCCCAGAAGACGCCGGAGGAGACCTGGCCCCGAGAGCGAGTCCTGCTGCAGGCCAGGCAGAGTGTTCCCAGACACGCACCTTCATCACCAGGAAGACGGACAGGGTGCCGAAGATGGAGATGTCCGGGTGCCACCACTCCTGCCACAGGTTGAGGGGGTCCACCTGGGGAGGCCTGTCGAGGGACACGTTCTGGGAAAGGACGCTCCAGGTACGGTTATCAAGCAAGGAGGTGAGCAGCTCCTTCATGTTCAGCTGCACAAAAAATAAATAAATAAAAGGAAAGGCAACGCTTGGGAAACGCTCCCCACTTTCTGCCCCGTGGCACAGAGGGGCCGGCAGCCACCCTCCTTCCCGCCCCCATGCCTTGCCTCCGCTCCTCTGGTTTGCCCTGGCCGAGAGCCCGTGGCACCTCGTGCGTTCCCAGCAGGCTCTGCCTAGGCTGATAGTTACCCTGGAGGCCATGAATTGTCCCAGGCTCAGAGGGAAGGTGATGGAGGACAAGAGGAAGGCCACCAGCACCGAATAGAGGGGTTTCCTGCAAAAGAAGGCCCCCCGAGGTCAGGGGGAGGGAGAGGGGAGATTGTCTCCGGAACTCAAAATAGCCGCAGGTTATGAAGGGGTCTGGGCTGGGGGGCTACCACAGGCAGCTGTACTTCTGGGGGTCAACCTCGTGATGGAGAAGCAGAGAAAACCTTAAGAGATGAGCCTGAGATCAAAGAATCTGGAGAATCAAAGAATTGCCTGGCTGCAATTTTCTTCCGGCGAAAAACTGGGGTGGGGGGCGGAGCGATCTCACTTGCTGGCCAACGGTGGTGGCCTCCCCAGTGAGCCGCCTTTTCGGGGAGCCCACTTCCTGCGCAGGAAGCCCCCTCCGCCTCTGGCAATCCAGGGAACCCCAGGAACCACCCCGGGGGACTCTGGAGAGCTCCTTACTCGGCGGCCAGCAGTCTGGCTGTGAAGCGGTTCCTCCGGACGTAGCCCAGGAACCAGCGCTGGCAGAAGAGGTACGCGCAGCTCAGCACGCCGCAGATCACGCTGAAAGGGAGAGCGGAGGCCTCCCGGTTGGCAGGTGCCCTGGCTGCTGCATTCCCCCCCCCCCGCCCCCAAGACCACAGGGAGACCCACTTCTCACCCGAGGAAGGTGAAGAAAATGGTCTCCGGCAGGTCAAAGGGGAAATCGATCTTAAAGCTGGTCTTGAAGAGGGCTGTGATGGTTTCTGGAAAGCAGGGGTGCAAAAGTTGGAGGGCTCCGACTCTGATCTCCTGGGGACCCTTTTCCCAGCTCCCACCCCACTACCCCGCCTCCCTGCCTGGCCCTCAGCCAAGCAGCCAAGCAGGAAAGGCTCGACTCCAGTCTGTTCTGAGGAGCCTCCAAGCGCCATCCAAAGAAGGGCTTGCTCCCTGCTCAGTGTGGCCTCCCCCAGCCTCCCACCTCACCCACAGCCATAGCCTCCGTCTCCTCCGACGCATCGTCTCGGGTAAACACTCTCCCACCCGCCCTCCTGTCCCAACAGCCCCCAGGCAAGAGGGGCCAAGGGATCCTTCCTTTTGGCCCCTCGCTCCCCACCTTGTTCGCTATTGAAAACGGCCAACAGGCGGAACATGAAGGCGCCACAAGTCGCCGAGAAGAAGCCCCTCCAGTAATCCCGGACAGCGAAGTGGGAGGACACGACCTCGATGCTGAAGAGGACCCCTGGAGGAATGGCAACGGGGAAGGTGGGGCGGGGAAGGTGGGGAGGGCAGTCCAGAGAGTCCAGCCTCACATCCATCAGCCTGGCCCCCCAACCTGCTTCGGGCTTCCCTTTGCAAAGGGTCTTTGCCAGAAACGGAAGCCGCGTCCCAGCCACGTCTTACCGCTGATGGGTGCGCCAAAGACGGTCGCCACGCCCACAGCCGCTCCTGCCACCAGCATCTCGTTCTGCTTGCTTTTATTCTGGGCGAAGAAAAGGGGGTGCCCCTTGGTGAGGGTGCTGCCAAGCTGCCCTCCAGGCATCGGTCCCAGGAACCCCCAAAAGCTGGGCCGCCTTCAGTCCCTCCAGCCACGCAGCCCTCAGCTGGACCCTCCCTGGGGTGCGGCCTCGCCTCCTCAGCCCTACCTCGTACTCCCCAGAAACGCTGGTCCGGATCTTGCCCAGGTAGGCGGCAATCATGCTGGAGAGGTGAACAAAGGGTCCCTGCAGAGGCCGGGCAGAAGGAAGACAGTGATGGAGGACCCGAAAGGCTCAGAGGGAGGGAAAGCTGGTCAACAGAGGCCCTCTCCATCCAACGGTCATCTCTCCCAGCAGCCCCCCCTCCCCCCAGACAAGAGGCTCCTCTCCTGACCTCAGCTGGACCTTGAAGGTCTCTAGGAAGGAGGTTTTTTTGCCCCCTAAAACTTTCCCCTCGGTTGCTGGGCTGACTCTGGCGGGATCTTTTTCTATGTACACTGAGAGCAGGTGCACCAAAAACAAATTCCTTGTGTGTCCAATCACCCTTGGCCAATAAAGGATTCCTATTCTATTCTATTCTATTCTATTCTATTCTATTCTATTCTATTCTATTCCATTCCATTCCATTCCAGTCCAGTCCAGTCCAGTCCAGTCCAGTCTAGTCTATTCTAGTCTATTCTAGTCTAGGTCTAGTCTATTCCCATTCCAATTCCTATTTCCATTCCATTCCATTCCTATTCTATTTCTATTTCTATTATTTCTATTTCTATTTCTATTTCTATTTCTATTTCTTATTCTATTCTATTCTAGTCTATTCTATTCTAGTCTAGTTTAGTCTAGTCTATTCCCTTTCCTATTCCCCTTCCATTCCATTCCTATTCCTATTCCTATTCTATTTCTATTATTTCTATTTCTATTCTATTCTTCTATTCTATCCTATTCTTCATTCCTCTATTCTATTCCTCCAGGCACCCAGTTCCTGCCTCCTGTCTTTCAAACTTCCCCCCATGACGCTTTCCCCTTTCAAACCGTCACGGCTTTCTTTCTGGGTCCAAAGGCTGACCCCCTCCCCTCCGGGGCCACGGAGGCCCTGCGTGGAGGCAAGGGAGGGAGGGAGAGAGAGACCCCCCCTCCATCCAACCGCTGGGAACGTACCACTTTGCCGAGGAAGAGGGTGCTCCCGCAGGCGAGTGTGCAGGTCAGCCCCACGACTTTGGCCCCAAAGTTCTCTATGGCCAAGTACTCCTCCAGGATGACTCCCGTCAGGATGGTCTTGAGTTCGGGGATGCCAGAGCCTGGGAGAGAGGGCAGAACGATCTCTCCACCGCTTCTGGCAGGAGTCCCTGCCCAGAGGCGTCTCAAACCCTAACTAAGGAGCCAGGCCAGACACGGTGTGTGAAGGAGGCCCTGGCCCAGGTTGCCCTTCCTTCAGCCACCTTCCTTTCAGGGAGAAGAACAAGGCAGCAGATGGAAGGAAACCTTCATGCTTCCCAACGGGAACAGGCTGGACATTTTTTTCTCCCCTCTCCTCTCACCCAGACCCCGGGGAGAAGAGAAGAAAGCCGCTTCCATGGTCCAAGGGCTGGAACTGGGCATAAAACGACCCACTGGGGGGGGGCTGACCCCAGCCTCCATCCCACCTCACCTCCAGCGTGCTGGGTAATGCTTTGGACAAAGCCCGTGGAAAAAGCGGAGAGCGCGACTGGGTACATGGTCCAGGAGAGGAACTTCAGCACCGGGTAGTCTCCGACCTCTTGGTAAAGCCACAGGTGCGCTGGAGGATCCAAAGGGAGAGTTTGGAAGCCGGCTAGGAACTGAACCGACCCAGGACGGCTCTGAAGGGATGGAGAGCCTAACCCCACTCCCCTCCTCTTGAAACGGGCCTCTCTTGGGGCACGGGGTCTCCACAAGCTGCACCGAAAGACGCTCTTTCCTTCTGCTTGTCCCCCAAATGTCCAGCTTGAGGAAGGCGGTGGGTTTTGGTGGGGCAAAAGCTCACCGCTGGCAACCCTGGAGACCGTGAAGTCCATGGCGAAGCTGACCAGCGCCATGATGACGCCCAGGGCGAAGAGGTAATACCAATCGTCCCCAACTCGGAAGAGCTGCCGCTTGAGGCACTCCAGGCAACCTGCAGAGGGCAGCAGAGGCTGGGAATTACGGGTCTGCCATTGTAATGGAACCTCCTCCAAGGATGGGTGAAGAGCCCCAAAGGGTCAGCGCCTCTGGACAACATCGGGAACGCCTCAAGCCTCGGTGCCACCCACGTGGAAGCCACTTTTGTGGCTGGGTGGGATCTCCCAGGCTCCTACCGTGCACCTTGCGCCGGGCTTTTGGCCAGGGTCTCCAGTTGTCTTCCCAGGGCAGGAACACATTTGCCGCCTCCTCCTCCTCCTCCTCTTTGTTCTCGTCTCTTTCTTTCTCCCCGCTGACTCTCTGTGGCCTCTCGGCAGCCATGCCCCGAGGAGGCTGGGAGTGGGAACGCTGGACCAAGCCCAAGAGGAGGAGGAGGATGCAAGCTGTCTGTTTGCAAGCATCAAGGTGGACGGGGTCCCCAGAGGCCTCCTGCTACAGCTTGTAGGGCTCTTGGCCACAGGACGGAACCCAGGAGGCACCGTTCCCTGAAACGCAAAGGCTCTGGAAAGGTCGAAGGAAGAGGAACACGCGCACCCAGATCCCCCACCCCCAACGACACGGTCCTGGCCACCCTGCAAAGGGAAGATGCTCCACGGGCAGCAGCCGCAAAAGGGACGAAGCTCCAACAGGATCCACCTGCCTGGTTCCAGGGCAAGGGCACTCTAGGAAGGCGGCATTTCTATTGCCTGAGGGAGCCTCGGATACTAAAGGAAATCCAGACAACAATGCACACTCTTCCCTCCCACCCACCCACCCCGCTCAAACACAGCCAGGGTCCCCTCAATGGCCTCAACTGTGCAAAGGAGACTCACCCCACCTCAGCCGGCTCAGCTAAGCGCGTCTGTCCAAGACTCCTGCTGCTCCTGGGTCAGGGCGACTTCTCTGGAGCCAGTTCCCTCTGCCTTTGCCCTGACCTGATCCAGGGCACATGCACACACCTGCCTCCCGGGCCCTCCCTCTTTTCTCTCCCACACCTCCCTCCCTCCCTGACCTCTAACTATCCGGAACTCTCTCTGGGACCCACAGGAAAGGCCCTCCAGCCAGCCCACTCCAGCTCAAGCCAGCCTTCACCACAAGCAGCACAAGGAAGGTGGGGCGGGCGGGCGGGCAGGGAGGCAGCTGGCAACCGGCCCCATTTGGCTGGCTGCCCCACACCTTGCCCCCCCCCCCCGAGGGTCATTAGTTTCGGTCAATAGAGCTCACTCACCGTCCCAGTTTATGCTCACCTCCCAAGGTCCAGGTGAGCCGTGCGTGGGGTGTGTGTGTGTGTGTGCAGAACCAAGACCAGGAGGGCCAATTGCTGAACAGTGCCAGCCTTTCATGATCCTTGCCATCCCATCAGGCAAGCCCCTAAAATGGACAGGCAGCTACTCACACAGTCCCTGGGGAGGGGGACAGACAATGTGAGGGGGGCACGGAGGGCACTGCTTGCTACAGGTCAAGAGAACTGGCTTATCTTGTAAACAATTGGCAAATCAAATAAATAAATAAATAAAATAAATAAACTCATAGGGAGAGGCCGAGAGCAGAGGCTGCAGGGCAGGATGAGCTCAGGGGGGCCATTCCAGCAGCAAGGGAAACAAAAGGCATGGAACAAAACTGCCCCCCCCGCAAGAAAAAAGCAACCGCTGTCACCCCCCACCCCCCCCCCCCCCCCTCCCACTTCTACATCAGGCACGGTTTCTGAACTCTTGAGTGAGTTCCAGGATGATTTACGGTCCCTGGGCCCCTCTCCTCCTGCCAGCACCCCAGAAGTGGAGCCTAAGGGCCAGAAGAGCTGCAATGCAACGGGCAACGGATGAAGCCGAGTTAGGGAGGACATCCTGCCCTCTGGGGCTGGTTCTGTGGGGAGGGGAAGAGGGCACGGGAGGCCCCAGGCCCAATGACTCAGCCTGCCCTGAGAGGAGGGTGACTAAGCAGCTGTGTTTAGCTACAAGCTGCCCCCAGACAGTTTCCGCCAGACAGGCTGCGTGATGCTTTCCATCTCCATCTTCTGCAGGGAGGCCGATGCCAGGCCCTCTGAACTGCCAGGGAAATAAAGCCCCCCCCCCCGGGGAAACGACAAGCCCTCTTCAGGAATTGGGGGGAGGGGGGGGGTTAGAGGGAGCAGGGTTCCTCTTCTTTCGGGGTGCTTGCCGGCTGGGTCTTTCCGTGCCAGGCTCTCCCCTTCCTTGTGGAAGGCCAATCAGGCGGACGACCCCTGGGTGGAATGCTGATGGCCAGCCTCCCCTCCCGCCTCTCTCTGTTGGTGCCTATGGGACGCTTTCCAGAGGCATCGGCCCTGTCCTGCAGAACACTCTAAATTTAGACTCTGTGGCAAGACCCCTGGAAGGCAGCCGAGCGGCTCCAAGGCTTTTAAAGGCTCCACAGCTGCCGCCCGGGTGGCTCTGTCGGGTGAGACTTCCGGAGGAGGCAGCTCTCCCAGCATCGATCCCCTTGGATAGCCACCCTCTCGGGGCTCACTGCTTCGGCACCCTCCACCATCTTCTTGGCAGGACACGACCAAGCGGGCGCGGCTGTCCCATGGAGAAGGCCCACGGAATATTCGACAGTACGTTGGGGAGCTTCCTAAGGCCCCATCCGGATCCCCGAAGCTTCTCAGGCAAGTGGGGAGAGAGGGCTGACCCCCGACTGTCTGGGTCTCTTCCCTGGGCTCTTGTCTAGCCAGTCCCACAGCCAAGGCTCCCGCTTTAAGCGGCGTGATCGCGGAGGGGAGATGCCACCGTTTCCGCTTGTTTAGGGTAAACCCTTTTTCGTTTACACCAACCATTCTTGGAAGAATGGGCCCCACACAGGCTCCACCATCCTGCTCCAGGATATCCTCCCTGCACCTGTGGCCTGGCTGCACTTGTGAAAGGCAGAGGAGCCACAAAGGGGTTTTTCGCACAAGCTGCCCAGCATCTGACTCGGTGCATCCCAAGCCACAAAGGCAAGCAAGGGCAGCCTGGCCTTCTCCCTTCTTAGCGGTCGGCCACAAGGCCGTGTCCTGAACAGGACCTAGCAAAGACACCAGAGATCACAGGGAGGAGGGGGAAAGGGGCACTTGGCAGGGCAGAGAGAGGCGGTTTGAAATGCGATGGTGTCCAGCCCCTGTCATTTAGGAAGCCTGTTGGCCACAGAGTCCTTGGGCTACTTCTTCAGCTCCAGGCTGGTCTGTGGTCTCTTGGGAGGGAGCACCCCCTCAACCAGGTGGGATTTTCAGGACCTAGCTCAGTAGCCCAGCCATTCCTTTTCGCCCTGCAGCACCTCAAATAGCTGCTGCAAGCGGAGCCACCTGGGAGGCCCAGCGGAGGCACAGATGGCGCATCCTGCTCGCCCCAGGATCCCACCCCAGAATTTTCCTTTTCCCAGCGAATTATGTCCCAGTGCTGGGATCAAGAAATCCAGAGAGCTTCTCTTCTCTCAGCAGGCCGGGCTGGCGGGATGGGAAACATCAAAACCTTGGGGGATACATACCAGTTTGCGGTGGATGTCAGCGACTTCTCCCCCGAAGACATTATCATTACCACATCCAAAAACCAGATTGAAGTGAGGGCTGAGAAGGTGAGTGGCTACCGCTGAGCTGCCTGCCGTCTTGGAGACCATTGGAGCCATTTTTAAAGCAGAGCTGAGCCGTTCGGCTGGGACTGAGGGCTGGTGGGGGGGTAGCCCCAAGATGCTTGGCTGAGAAAAGCTGAGGCAGGTGACTCCTTCGATCCACGGCAGTGGGGGAGTAGCTTTTTCTGGCCTTCAGGTTCTCTGCCTATCCGAGCATCGCAATATCGTCCCGCTGTGGAAATCAACAAGGGAGTTATAGGAGCTGAACCTTTTTTTCTTGGGTTTGCTTGGGAAAAAAAAAAGATGAACGTGCCAGAGCTCCCCCCTCCCTGCCCAAAAGGACCTGGATGGACCCCCCTGCGATGTAAGGGAGCAAAGCCTGCAGGCAAGAGACCGCAGTGGCATTGCTGTCTTAAGAGGCTCTGGGGACCGGAGGCGCCCTGCCCCCACCCGGGTGCCCTTCTGACTAGGCTAGGGATGTGCACATGGTGACGGGAACATTCCCCGACTGGCCGGTCCGTGTTGACCCAAACGCTGCCAAGGAAGCCTTTCTCCTGATGCCAGCTGCCTCTCTGGGGGGCCAGCCTGGCAAAAGAAGAGGCCTTTTTGGGTTGAGTCGTTCCGGCTTAACTTTTGGCAGCATCGTCAGCATTCCCCCCCCCCCCCCTTTCATAGAGATTCGGGATGGGCTTGCTCCTTATTTTAGCAAAAGCAAGCCACTGAAGTTTGGGAAGAGCAATTCACAACAACTTTCGGGATTCAGACTCTAACTGCTGTCTCTTTGTTCTCCTCCCCATGGGCAGCTAGCAGCTGATGGGACCATCGTCAACACATTCACCCACAAATGCCAGCTCCCTGAAGATGTGGACCCTACATCGGTCACCTCCACCCTAGGGGCAGACGGCTGCCTGACCGTCAAGGCAAGGCGACGTCCAACCAAGCCATCGGAGCCAGTGCAGCAAACCTACAGGACTGAGATTAAGATCTGAGCTCCAGGAGCAGTTCGGGAGAGCGGGCAGGGAGCCAGGCTGGGGCTGGGCTGGGTGGGGGGGTGGAAAGTAGATCTGTCCTTGTGTTGCCCGTCAATAAGAGATGTTTTGGTTTGTCATCCACGACTGAAGGTTAAAGGGATGCCGGCAAAGAGCCTAAGCGGGCCAAAGCTGCCCTTCCCCCACTCCCCCTTTGAAAGGGGGAAAGAACACCCATCGCTTTTCGCCAGCAGGAACAGCAAAGCTGGAAGGCAGCTGGAGCTGAATTTTCCACTTCTGCAGCCAGCAATTTAATGTTTTGAAGCGTTGAAGGGACGTGTTGCTAACAAAAAAAAAAAAAAAGAGAGGATGCAATATGAAATGTATACAATAGGAAGTCAATCGCAAAGCGGAGTTTACCTCTGGTGAACTTATTTAGGATCACTGCATACCTCTTGAGGCATTCAAGTTAAAATGTTATGATATTATATTATAAAATATGCTAGATCCAGGGTTCCCCCCACCTCCCCCTCCCCTGTCTTTGTACCCTACCTCCAAATCCAGCTACACCCACAAGTGAAAGTTGAGGGGAATGAAATGATGTAAAACGAAAAGTAAAACGTTTTAATTATAGGAAAATACTTTCTTGCAAGTCACGCGCTGACTTTGGCTGTGTGAATGTGTATGATTTGGGGGGGTGGGGGAAGGAAAGGAAGAAGGGAGCAAGGAAGGAGGGAGCTTTTGTCCTTGTGTTGCATCCAACACACACACACACACACAACACACAGTTTTTAAAGGCCAAAGAGGTAGGCCGGGGAAGAAGTGAGTCATGGTCTGGAAATAGAGCCAGTCTGACAAAGGCCCTCCAAGTGGGCTCCTCGCCCGGGTGGGCTGAGGGTGGGAAGGGGGGGGGCAAAGGGGACCATTCCAGGCCCGGCCCAGCCACCCTGCCCTGGAAGAGAGGCTCACCAAGCCGCCTGAATAGAGACCACCGTCCTCTTCCTCTTTCCCCCCCCCCTCGGATCCCCCCC